TTTTTTCTTTTTTTCTTTTTTTTTGAGACGGAGTCTCACCCTGTTGCCAGTCTGGAGTGCAGCGGCATGATCTCGGCTCACTGCAATCTCTACCTCGCAGGTTCAAGCTGAGATTACAGGTGTGAGCCACCACGCCTGGCCGCCAGTGCAGAATTGTATATTTCCAAGCCTTTTAGCATGTCTAGCCCTAAACTGTGGAATCTGTGTTCTGGGCAGTGTGACTACCTCTGTTCAGATTTTAATTCACATATACATATTTTAGCCTGGCTTTCTAGGGAGTCATCCTGTGTCTGAATAGCTTAGTTTTTAGCTATGAATATGCCAAAGATATGCTCAAACAGCTTGAGCCTGCTCTTCAATCTGTGTGTGGGTTAAGAAGGGCACATTCAAAGCTTAGAGAATTCTCATCTGCCTTGGCCCTTGCTCTCAGTTAGAAAACCTCAGGTCTCCCCTACACATGTGCATAGTTCCACAATATGCCAGGATATGTGGAGTGGTCATCCCTTTACGGTTCTCTCATTTCCAGGGTCTGCCTTTTAATGTCTTCCACTCACCCCAACTGGCACTACAACCTTAAAGGAGCAAATACATGGTTTTTCCTTCTTTTTCCCTACCAAGTTCAGTACATTTTATCGACAAAGGTTTTTATTCATTGCCCCAAATTGAATCAACTCGCTGGCAGCAAAGCTGCTGGTTTTCCAAACTACAGTTCTTGCCAAAAGTGCTGGGACAGGAGGTCACATTAGAAGCCTACATGAGAATGCTGTAGACTTGCACTATTCTTACCTGAAGCTCTAACAGTTTTCCTAAGAATAAATGTTTCTCCATGTTTTTCTTTGCTTTTGGTTGATTTCCAGAGTTCAAATAGTTTTGGGCAATTTTGCCAGTTTTATACTTTTTTGTGTGTGGAAAGGATTCACCAAACTCTTCATGCAGCCACAGGTGAAAGTACATTTCTTGTGAATATTTTTATGCCCGTCCTCCTCATTTTATAAATGAGAAAATAAAAATTTAGGAGGCCTAGATCATATTTTTAAGGTTAAAGGACTATGCGGTCTTAAAGGGCTAATTTGTCAGTTAACAATCAACATGTAGGGCACGGTCACTGGAACCAAGTAGCATCTTGTCTGAAAAATGCCTGACTTTAGCTGTTATCTTTTTTGTAAAAGTGGTATGGCTGTTATAAACCACAGGCCATTGACTAAATCCAGATTTGGTTTATCCAAGTGAAGAAATTTAAGATGTGGGTAATAAGCATAAAATAGGATATTTTGGCAAAGCTAAACAACTTTTTAAAGAAACTATTAAAATGCATTTTTGACTGCTTTAAAGCAGGTAATATTTATTAACCTACACAAAAGAAAAACATCCTTACTGATATTGAGCCAAAAATCAGTCTATGATGCAACACATCACTTAGTTTTTCTCCTCCGCCATTAAAAAAAAAAAAAGGCAAGTATGGTAGCTTTCCCAAAAAAATTCCTTTAAATTCTTAAACATCCTCACATTTCTCTCCCAAATTCTACCTGCCTCGTTTGTTTTTTTTTGTTTGTTTGTTTTTACAGCTATAGTAACTTCATAGCATAAAAGATGAAGCAAAAGCAATACAATTATAATAGCTATTGACTCACTACCAGGAGAAAAGGGTGTAATTTCTAAGAATGTTTTCCAATAGTGATGATGGACTTGTGCCTCTCTATGCAACAACCCTTCTAATATTAGAAAAGAAAAATGGTCATAGCTCCTTAAGTCTTCTCTGCTCCAAGTCAAACAACTCCAGTCCTTACCAGCAGAGCTAGAACCCTTTCACCACCACATGGCTCTACCATGGCTCAAACAGTAACTCCAGTCAGAATATGGACATTGCTTAGAAATATCTCTTCGTGGTGTGGCATATTCACCCTGAGTCTCAGAGCCCAGACTCCAAACACCTGATCATACATTCGTTCGTAAGTATTTACTGAGTGCTACTATATGCCAGGCACTGCACTTAAAGGAGAGAGAGCATTCAACAAGACTATGAATCCAGAGTCTCTGCACTCAAAAACTGGGGTTGGCAGACACAGAACAATCACTAATTCAATTCATCCCAGATAGTACAACTCACTTCGTGCTGAATACCACTAGGACCATCAGACTCAGACAGAGAATCTTTATTAGAGTTTTCTAATACAAGGAATGGAAATCTACATAACATGTCCAAATACACACAATAGGGCAAGTCCATGGTAATTCCCATATGTCCTTTAGACAAAGTTTTCAACAATCCTCAGGAAAAAATATGAAAAAGAACAATGCGGTATTAATAGAATAAGTTTATTTTATTCTATTAGAGTTTCTCTTTATTATGAGCCCATGTCCCCCTTTTTTTTTTCTTGGCATTAAAATGTTTTTTACCTCATGAAATAATGGTTTAAGTAAAAAAGTAGAAGGTACCTGGCTTTGTTTTGGTTCATTTTGAAACAGTCTTATTTGCCAAATAAGAAGAGAGCAATCAAATTTCTATACCAAATATTTGTTGATATTTTATTTATCCATATCATCCAGTGATTTAAAGGACTCAAGAAAGTTCCCTTTGTCCTAAAATGCACCTCTGCACACAAAGAGTAGGGAATTACTCTTCCAACAAGTAGACCTCCATAAGAATTAGATCATTACATTTTGACACAAGGAAATGTAAGTTTTCCCACCTTCTTGCTGTATCATTCACAAGAACATTAATATCACAGTTTAAAAGACCCAAACACACAGTACTGTAAATATGCAAAAAGTCTATCACAGAAACTATATTGGTGACAATAACAATTGTAATTACTGACAGTTACTTCAGTAACGGTAAAAGTAGCCAAATTCTTATCAAGATTATTTATGGATAGTCTCTAGTATCATCCACAATGAAAATGGTTTATATTTATTAAGCTCCAGATAGGGTAGGGTGGGAGAAGACAGAAAAAGAGGAAAAAAGTTAGTAACTTAAGAAAAACTCTATTATGTAACTAAAGTTTGTCACTAGCATTGACAAAACTGCAAAATATCCTTGATAGTTGAAAATGACACAAAGTTCATATAGGACACCTACCTCTACTCACCCATTTCCCAACAAAAAATACATCTGTGCTTACCTCTGGTAATCTGCATGCTTTTATGCAAAGGCTAAACTGTAGAAGGGCATTACAACATAGCATAAACAAAGGGGTTTTTAAGTCAGGTGGTCTTAAATTCCCTCATTCAAGACCTAGATCTGCCCTTTACTTTCTGTATGTGACCTTGCACAAGTCATTCGACCACTTCAAGCCCCACTAGACTCAGCTCCACAGGAGCAAAGGCCACTTCTGCCTGACTCACTACTGTAAACAGTGGCCCACAGCACGGAGAAATCAGTTTCTTCTAGTATAAAATAAAGATATTAACAGTATTTATCTCGCAGCTTTAACTGGAGGAATAAATGGGATATTATATATATAAAGTTCTGGTGCAGTGCCTGATTATGGTAAATGCTCAATAATAACTGTTTGACATTAACTACCAGTCATCAAACATAAAAGTAATGTTTGAAGACCTTCAAATACTAATACGCAAAGTCTTTACCCACTAAGTATAAATTTCCCGATTTTTTTTTTCTTTTCCACAGAATACCTGCGAAGTTTCTAAACGACTGGGTTGGGATTCTAATAATAGCTGAACCCTGAATGGTGGGTTACAGAGTCAAGCTATTAAAAGACATTCAGTAGACTCCAAATGCTCCTACTTCAAAAAATAGGTCATACGCAGAGGCCCCACTGGCTTCCCAGTCTCCCCTTCGGACGTCCCTAGACTGTCAGGGAACCCCCCTCCTCCGCGTTTAGGGGGAGGAGAGAGAAAGCCTCAGAGGCGGGGGCCGAGGGTGGGGGAAAGCGAGCATCCCTGCGCCTCTCGCCCAGACCCACCTTGAGCAGGATGGACGGCGGCAGCTGGTTGATGTCTGGGGTTTCGGGGGACGGCTCCCTGTGACAGTCGCAGGGGTTTTCGGGGGGCTCCCGACAGTCCGCGTCGCCACATTCATGCTGCTGCTGGGCGGACGAGGGGGCGGTGCCCCCGGCTCGGACAGCGTCCCCGCCAGCTTCGGTAGGGGCACCTTCGGAGGTGGGAGAAGAGGGCGGGGGGCACAGCGGCTGCGGGTGCTGCTCCGGACCCTGGCAGCAGCCGGCGTCGGGGGGTCGGGGCGGCGAAGCGCCTCCCCCCGCAGGCCCTCCCCCACCACCACCGCCGCCGCCGCCGCAGCCCCCGCCGCCGCAGCGGGGCTGCTTGCAGGGGGTGCAGGCTGGGACCCCGGCCCCCTTCCGCTTGCACACCATTTCGGGGGGCGTAGGGGGCTCGGCCGGCGGCGGTGTCGGCCCCCGGAAGAGCTGCACGGCGGCGGGCGGCCCCAGGAAGCGCACCGGCCCCAAGCTGGCCAGGAAGAGACTTCGGCCCTGCTGCTCCCAGGCGGCGGCCGCAGCCAGCCCCAACTCTTTGCAGCAGGAGGCGGGCGACGAAGCCGAGGCGGCAGCGGCTGCAGCGGCGGCGGCCGAGGATAGCAGGAAGCGGCGGGCGGCAGCGGCGCAGTCCTCGGCGGCCAGGGCCGCGTAGCGCCGCGCCAGGTGCTGGGAGGAGGAGGCGGCAGCGTAGGCCCCGTCCCGCGGCGGCGGCGGCGGCGAGAGCGGCGGCTCCTCCTCTGGGCCGGCGGGGGCGGGCGCGCCGGGACTGTGCACGATGAAGCAGAGCATGCAGGGCCCGCGGAAGAAGCAGTCCCGGCTCCGGGGTGCCGCCGGTTGAGGGGGCACCTTGGCTGGGGTCCGGCGGGGCAGCCTGAGGAGAGGGCGCCGGCGGCGGCACCAACTGCAACAGCGAGGCCTCTTCTGGCTCGGGCGGTTACGCGGCTCCTTCGAGAGAAGGTGGCCCATATAGAAGACCCCGAGGAGGGGGACCGGGACGGGAGGGAGGGAGACCCAGAGAGGCGGGCTCCTGGCAGCGGGGCAGGCCGCTCGCTGGCTCGGCCCCCGGCCCGCGGCGGGGTCGCCCTCCCTGCGCACACACACGCACACACGGGCACACACGCGACGGTGGGGGGTGGGCGTCAGCTGCGGGCCGCCGGAGTGCCCGACGGGGGCTACATGCTTTGCCCAGGGAAGCCGGGAGAACGATGGGCGCGAGCTTTGGGGACGCGAGGGAGTGAGCGAGCGAGCGAGCGAGCCTGCCGGCTAGGTGACCAGTCCGGGCCCGGCCAGCCGGCTCAGTCAGTCAGCGCGGCAGCGGGGGCAAGGCCGGGTCCCGCTCGGACCATTTTAACTGCGGATCTGCCGCCGGCGCGCGCGCCCGCGACTCTGCTCGGAGCCGCAGGAACGCGCGGCCCGTTCCGGCAGGGGGCGGAGCCAGTTGCGGTGGCGCGCTCGTGGCGGGGACGCCTGCGCCCGCTGCTCACCCGGAACGGCAGCCACACGGCACTACGGGAAGAAGCCGGCCGGCTAGGGTATGGAGCTCTGGGCTCGCGGGGTGCGGCGCGCGCCCCTCCCTCCAGCCGCCTAAGTTTTTTCCGAAGCTGCTGGGCGTGCGCCGCTTTTCTAAGGCGGGAGGAGACACTTCCGAGCCAGCTGTGTGACATCCGTTTACACAGCCGCGCTGACGTCTCGAGGTGTAAGTTCAAGAGCTGCCATTGGCCGGTAGCCGCTCGGCTCTTCCCCTCATCTTCCACCCCCATCACCACCTCTGACTCGGAAACCCAGGCCACTTCGAAGCCGCGAGGCGGGTTCCGCCGGAAGGGCCGGCGTGGGCGCTGACCGCGCCTGGGGCGGAGTGGCAGATGCGGCCGGTGGTTGATACGCACCCAAGTCATGTGAGGGGTTGATTGGTTGTGCGGCATCACTGTTTACTCACTTGTGTTTTATTAATTGTTGCGTACTACCGCCTTTCCACAACTTTATTTCAGAGTGAAAGCATATATCAAATTACCTGTGCACGGTGGAAAGATAACAGCTTCCCCACCCAATGAGCCATCCAACACCCAGGCTACAAGCTGTAGATCACTTTATTGTCTGCACCCTCGGAATGCTGTCTAGCTGTCTGTTATATATTTTAAACATGACGGTGCAGTGCCGGCTGTATGACAAACCTTGGTGATTCGGATGAGAAAGAGGAAATAGCTGTGCAGGCAGTCCGTTAGAAGGTTTGACTATATCGAGGCTAGAGAGCTAGGGCAGCTACTAGAGCGGCACCTGGTCTGGAGAAGTTAGCTTTCACAAGCGAAGAATTGGAGGAAGCAAATACCGATGGGAATGAGCGACTCCAATGAGAGAAATAGGAGAAGGTGGAATGGAGAGTGCTTTAGGAAGGACACTTTCTTCATTATGATTACAGAGAATGACGAAAGGTAGATAAAGGATGAATATAGATAGGTGGATGTTTCTAGCTGGAAGGTGAGAGTTCCTTTCTGTTGGTTTCTGTTTTCCTTCAGATAGAGCTTGGTTACCTGCTGAAGGGGGGAAGTGAAGTGGCAGCTGTTTTAAAAAAAAAAATCTGCTAAGGATAACTTGAGAGAGCTGACTGAGGGAGCAGTATTGCAATATTCAAGGCCCAGTGACTTAGAGACCTCTGTTGGAACCTACATTGCTATTACCACTATAGTGGCCAGCCCCACCCAGTCTGCACTCAAACATGCTATCCAACATTTGTTAATGCTGGCCTCTTTGTCAGAAATGACTAATCTTAAGTCTGTCACATTCAGGGATCCTTCTTTCAGAGCCTAATGACAGTGATGTGGAATTCTAGAAGCAAATATTTGTCAAAAGGTTTCACAGACATACACGGTATTCACTATCAAATGCATTGCCTGAACTACATTTACCTACACATATAATCCACATAACTTTCATCCATCTGCCTGTAGGGGAATCTTCCAGGGCCCCAGAGCAGTGTTTGAGGACTTATTACAGATCCTTTGACATCTCTACTCGGCTGCACTTTCGCAAAAGGCAAGAGTATTATAAAATGTTTTGTAACTTTATGTCAAAAATGTTAACCTGTCAGAGCCAGTTGTGGTAGTACCTATCTTTCAAACTACAGCAGGGCTGGTGAGGTGTGAGGATCGCTTGAGCCCAGTTTGTTATGATTATGCATGTGAATAGCTGCTCTACTCCATCTTGAGCAGAGTAGTGAAACACAGTCTCATTTAAAAAAAAAAAAATGTGACCTGTGCATTTAATATAAATACACATCTGTCCTGTGAGCCAGCAATCCCACATCTAGGTATTTATCCGGAGAAATAAAAGCATATATCGATAAAAAGACATACAAAAAATGTCCGTAACAACTTTATTCATGGTCACCAAAAACTAAACTCCCCAGATGCCCATCAGTGGGAGAATGGATTAATAAACTGATTTATTCATCTAATTAAATGCTACTCAGCAACACAAGAAAAAAAGCATGGATGAATCTCAAAAACTTAGGATGATTTATGTTTTCTGGATATGGGGCCCTTGAATCTCTACCTGATAACAAGCTCCCTATGTGATTCCTGTACAGACAGCCTGGTACCATGCAAATGTATCAGAACTACACATACCATCCAACTTCGATGTCTTGTTTCTAGAGATGAAGCAACTGACTCTGGGAGTTCTGAAGTCATTCCTAAATTTTACAATATTTGTTTTGTTACTCCCAGTTCCTAAACCATTCAACCACAAGCAGATTGTCTTTGGTCTACCTGTTGTACTCTGTGCTGACAAAAGATACTTGTTTTTTATAGGTGAGATATTTTGCATGTCTGTTCTCATCACCCACCATCATCACACCACTAGTTCTCTCCAAAAAAAACTTCAAATTCCTTGAGGCTTAGGATTGTCTCTAACCCTTCTTTTTATTTACCACAGCAAATAGCAGAGAGTCACAGTCTTGTATATTTCATCAATGATTAAATAAGCTACTCCTATTATCAGGAGAGCTGTAATGAGTTTTGGAACTCAGTACCCTAAATAATAATACCGATGTTGTAAATGTTAAAGATACAGAATTATGAATAAAAGTCATAAATTGGAATTATAGAGACAATTGTAGCAACTGATGGCTTTGCTAGTTGTGGGGGCAGAGGGGGCGGAGTTGCAGTGGGAACCAACCCCGGACAGCCAGGAGCTGGACAGGCACTATTAGCTAGGCATTTGTGGTACTGGCAGTGGTCCTGGCATTCTCAGTTCTCAGTGTTTTGTCAAATATAAACAGTCTCACAAAACATCAACATCAGTTATAGTCACTTTATGACTACAATAGACAAGACAAATATAAGACCCCTGCATAATCATGTCTGAACACAACAAATAGAAGAACAGTCTCTAAACCACAAAAATGACCAAACATTCTTTTTAATGTAAGTGACCTCTGTTTCTTGGCCAATTACAACCTTAATCTTGATCCATTCTTCCTGCCTTCTAGATCGCAAATATTAAAATACTCAGTTATAGGATCACCTGTTTCCTGCCAGCATCCAATCCAAAGCAAAACGTTGACACTTCCCCAAAATCACCTAACAGAAGCTCATTCCTGTAATATTTTTCACAATACCAATACCCTCTTAGTGAGAGTGCCCCTGCCCAACTTCATTCCTCATTGCTCTTTTCCTCCCTGCAACAAGTCATTAAACCCACCTTGGTTTAAATCTAATTGTTTTCCTGCTGCTCTTTAGCTGGAGGGCATTAGCATTTGTTATTATCAAATGTCACCAGCCTATCTAAAGTTAATCCCTCCTTTGCCCTTTCACCTTACCGTTTTTATTTTCTTTATAGCTTATTATCACGTTTTAAATTTTTTTTGGTTTGTTCAATCAGAACATAGGCTCCATGAGGACAGGGATTTTGTTCAGTTTTTGGGAAGATAATCAGGCTACTATGTAGAAGACAGACTAGAGGAGAAGCAAGCTCTTAGATGCCAGTTAAAGTTGTTCAAAGGGTCTGTGGAGAAGCCTTAAAAGTATGAATTTAGGGCCAGGTGTGGTGGCTCATGCCTTTAATCCCAGCACTTTGAGAGGTCAAAGTGGGCAGATCACCTAAGGTCAGCAGTTCAAGACCAGCCTGACCCAACATGGTGAAACGTCACCCTACTAAAAATATAAAAATTAGTTGGGCACAGTGGCACCTGCCTGTAATGTCAGCTACTCAGGAGGCTGAGGCAGGAGAATCGCTTGAACCCGGGAGGCAGGGGTTGCAGTGAGCTGAGATTGCGCCATTACACTCCAGCCTGGGCAACGAGTGCAAAACTCCATCTCAAAAAACAATAAAAGAATGTAGGCATTCTGAGAATAATTAAGTAAGGTTGTTATTGAGAAATATGTCTGATCGTGGAGTTGTCAGGATATCATGAATTCTTTCTGAATTGCATAGAGGGAAGGGAATGATGAATATAGGGAGAAAACCCCCAAACTGTTTGTTCTTATGATTTATTTCAGTGAATAACTTACTGTGGTGAAATAATGGATTCTATAATATAAAATAGTTACATATTTGAATAATATCCCAACCTGAGGTAGATTTGAGTTATGGCCTACTGAGATTCACACTGAAAACCAGTATATAAATTTAAAATGTGGCAAAACAAGGTAAAAAAAAAGCTTTTCTTTCTTCTTTGCTAACATAGATTATACTCAATTTGAAATTCACATTTGCCTATAAAAAAGACAGCCTTGTGTAAAAGGTGTTCATGCTTGAAGTTGGATAATAGTGGTTGTGGTAAACATCTAAAACATCCTATAGCACCAGTGACGCACAAGGAGAACAAAGATCACATGCCATTGATCCCAATAATTGTGGTAAATATGATGGATGGCCTAGAAAGACATTGTTTTATGCATCTTGAAATCATGGAACACCCAGGTGTTCAGTAAATTTAATTCCATGTTATATTGTGTTTTCGCTAAAATACTCAAGGCCAAAGATGATAGTGGAAAACAAGTTTCCAGAGAATTCCCGTCAGGAGGACAATCTATACTCCTGAATAATTTGTTTCAGACGTGATGTGAAAGTTCAGCTGCTGCCTGGCCTGTTCTTCCCTAAGCTCTTCTCTTGACTGATTCATTCTGAGATTCCAGATGATATCAGCCCTGATATCACCTCCTGTCATTAGAGTTCTTCCCCAGTCACTCTGTCACACTGCCCTGTTCATTTCCTTCACGGCAGTTACCACAGTCCGCAGTTGTGTTTCTGTGTTAGTTGACTATCATTCCCATCAGAATTAGTTCCTACTTTGTTTACTCTCAAATTGCCAGCACCTAAATTTGTTAATCAACTGATTTTTAAAGGCAGATTTTCGGAGGCTGAGACAGGAGGAACACTTAAGTCCAGGAGTTCGAGACCAGCTTGGGCAACATAAGGAGACCTTATCTTTACAAAAAATTTAAAAATTAGCCAGACGTGGTAGCATACACCTGTAGTCCCAGCTAATCTGGAGGCTGAGGTAGAAGGGTTGCTTGAGCCCGGGAGGTCAAGGCCACAGTGAGCCATGATCTTGCACCACTGCACTCTAGAGCCTGGGCAACAGTGTGAGAGACACCCTGTCTCAAAAAGAAACAAATAAGTTAAAGGCAGATTATCCTAGGTGGACCTGACATTATCAAGTGAACTCTTAAAAAGAGGGTCAAGGAGCAGATGGGCACGGTGGCTCACGCTTGTAATCCTAGCACTTTGGGAGGCCGAGGCAGGCAGATTGCCTGAGCTCAGGAGTTCGAACCAGCCTGAGCAACAACTGGTGAAACGCCGTCTCTACTAAAAATACAAAAAAAAAAAAAAAAACAAAATTAGCCAGGTGTGTGACGGCATAACACCTGTAGTCCCAAGCTATCCAGGAGGCTCGAAGGCAGGGAATTGGCTTGAACCGCGAGGCGAGGTTCCGTGAGCCAGATCGGTGCCTGCACTCCAGCCTGGTGACAGAGCGAGACTCTGTCTCAAGAAAAATAAAAAATAAAAAAAAAGAGGGTCAAAGAAGGTATCAGAGAGATTGAAAGCAACAGGCAAATGCTTATTCCTTTTGGCGCGTGAAGAAGTAAAGTTGCATGTTGTAGAGAGGCCTATACGGCAGAAAAATGGCAGTGGCCTCTAAGAACTGAGAGTAGCCCCTACCTGATGGTCAGCAAGAAAGCCGTCTTCCTACAGAATTCTTAATTCTGCCAGCACCACATGAGTTTGGAAAATACCGGAACTACAAGAAGGGAGCACAGCTTGGCTGACACCTTGATTTCAGCCTGGTAAGAACTGAGCAGAGAACCTAGCTGAGCCTGTGCCAGACTTAACGACTTACAGAACTACAAGATAATAAATGTGTTATTTTAAGTCACTTCATTTCTGGAAATTCATTTTTGCATCAAATGCAAATGTTTTTACATGAAATAAAGCTTGTATTCAAATACAGTCCTATGGATACCAAAACTTGATGTAGTTTTAATAGCAGAAACCAAATGATCAAGTATCCATAATTCAAAGATTAACCTCGTGAAAGAAAATAACTAATCAGAAGTTAATACCTGCACAGACTATTTGTTGTTCTCCCACTTTTACATAAATTAGATAATTGAGACAAAGGTATGGGCTTTTTTTTTTTTTTTTTGCTTAAGATTCACATATTTATCTTTTACTTAAATGGAATTAGTATAACACAAAGATGTTCAACTATTTATATTCAATTTTGTGTGTGTCTATATTCTATAATTAGTATTTTCTCATTTTCAACTGACAGAAATAGTGCTTATAGAAAAAATAATTAAATTACATGTGTCTCCCTAACATTGAATGTTTTTCCTCCTAAATTTCTTTTTTCTCTTTTTTTTTTTTCTTTTTTTTTGAGAAGGAGTCTCACTCCATCACCCAGCCTGGAATGCAGTGGTGCTATCTTGGCTCACTGAAACCTCCGCCTCCCAGGTTCAAGCAATTCTCCTGCCTCAGCCTCCCAAGTAGCTGGGATTACAGGCATGTGCCACTGCACCCAGCTAATTTTTGTATTTTTAGTAGAGACAGGGTTTCACCATGTTGGCCAGGCTGGTCTCAAACCCCTGACCTCAAATGATCCACCCGCCTCCCAAAACTGCTGGGATTACAGGTGTGAACCACCATGCCCAGCCTTCTCCTAAATGTAATAACATTTGTATTTCTTATTATATAATTTTTTTTTTTGAGACAGAATTTTGCTCTTGTTGCTTAAGCTGTAGTGCAATGGCACGATCTCTGCTCACTGCAACCTCCCTGTCCCAGGTTCAAGCGATTCCTCTGCCTCAGCCTGCCAAGTAGCTAGGATTACAGGCATACGCCACCACACCTGGCTAATTTTGTATCTTTAGTAGAGACGGGGTTTCTCCGTGTTTGTCAGGCTGGTCTTGAACTCCCAACCTTGGGTGATCCGCCCACCTCAGCCTCCCAAAGTGCTGGGAATACAGGTGTGAGCCACCATGCCTGGCCCTTATTATATAATTTTTAAATGGTTACATACTTGCACGCAATAGCCAGATTATTAAATCTACTTTTAGTGACTCAGAAATGACAGATCACCTTTACAACTCCCATGTGTTGAGAATTTGTTGTATTATTATAACGAAATGTCTATGTCCCAAACTTTTGTGCTCTACCCTGAGTCTGATGAGTAGCAGGTTGCCCCTTCCTATTTCATTCCCTATGTCTGGAGGTAAAATCATTATAACCAGAATCCAGAAACTGGAGGGATAGAAATAACCATTTAAGTTATATGTAATCCCTCCTGAGGCAGGTGGGCAAGAGAGGAAGGGTGGCAGGAGTAGTGAGGCAGATCACTCATCAGAGCCACTGCTGGTGGCTCTCACCTATCTAATATATCTGATACTGCTGGCTTTAGTAATTCCTAAATTTTTTATTTTTATTTTTATTTTTGGCTCCTGAGGAAAGTAATGAGGCATTGGTTTTTGTTACCACTTAGGGAGTGGATAATTTTCTTCTCTGTAGCCTCATAAATTATATAAACTCTCTTAAACTTATGGCAGGATACTTTATCAACATATCACCAGTGTTGTATGGAGTGGGTAGGTCTTGATTCTGTTCTACTTGCTTTTTAGTTATATATTATTGTTTATTATCTTTAGGTTATTGTGTGTTCAGTCATACCTACAGTATGTTGTGATGCAAATGGATCAACCATACTTAGAGCCCATTATTTACGGTCCATTATTTCCTACTAACTACATGTTAAGTAAGCTAAGGGGACAGGTGTTTAAAAATATTATCTATACTCAATTGTTCAAACAGACGGAATCATCTTCTTTTTCTATTTTTATACAGGTTATAACTCTGTCATCCCGACTAAAGTGGGCAGTGGCACAATCATGGCTTACTGCAACCTCAACTTCCTAGGCTCAAGCGATCCTACTACCTCAGCCTCCTGAGTAGCTGGGAATACAGGCAAGCACCACCATGCCCCACTAATTATTTTCTGTAGAGACAAGGCCTTACTATGTTGTCCAGGCTGATCTTAAACTCCCAGAGTCAAGTGATCCTCCCGCCTCAGCCTCGCAAAGTGTTGGGATTACAGGTATGAGCCACCATGCCAGGCCTGAAACATAGTATCCTTAAATTTGTTCGACAACAGTTGTTACTGAGTCACCTTTCCCATTCTCAATTGAAAAATGGGAATGAGTAAAATATCGGTGTAAGCATCTTTTGCTCCCTCCAGGGCAATTCATTTTATAAGCTTGAGAACCATTTTCATGGGTAGTATGCTGTCCTTGCTAACTTCTTTCCCTTTCAAAACTGCTTTATATCTTCATTTCAGTCTTACTTTGGAAGAGAGAGAGAGAGAGAGAGAGAGAGAGAGAGAGAGTGTGTGTGTGTGTGTGTGTGTGTGTGTCTTGGGGAGAATACTAAGAGGCAGGAAGTCTTCCAAATTCCCATTTTTTTGCCAGTGATTTTCCCTGGCAAATCAATATATTTCCTGCCTGTTGTCATCAACATTTGTAAATATTGACATCTCTAAACATCAATGAATTGGGTCCAATTTTAATAATTTGAATCTTTATTGCACTACGAATCAAAGATATTCACTGCTGAGTTACCAATAGGTAACATAACTGCAGATTAGTGGTAGGTGCTGTTTTCATGTGCTGTGGATCCAGAGGACCTCTATTTAAAAAATTAATATAGCTGTTTTCCATGTCAGCCATGAAATGATAAGTAATATCCTCCCATCTTTTTCCCCCCATCATTTTTATAAATTAAAAAAAAAAAGGAAAATTTACTTGGAGGAGTAAAGTGTGTCAGAATCTTCACTGAAAAAATTTTGTAAAGCACATACTCATTGGAAAGTGACAAGAATCCATAAAGAACTGCAAGAAAATATGTTGTTTCTAAAGGAAGTTAATTCTAAGGGAAGTTAACCCCAAAACCTACTTTAAATTACATTGCCTGTTTCACACTGTTTCATCTACTTTCATTACCTACCAGCTTTCTCTCACCCCTGAAATGTCCCATTTCTAACTGTGCCTTTATATTTTAATCTACACCTCAACAATATTGAAATATGCATCATAGTTTTTTCTTATGGATAAAGTTTTGGGGAGTAGTCTGTGAAGAAAATCCTTTTCAGGCACATTAAAGGGAATATTTGCTAAGATCAAGTTAGAAAAGATTTACTCTGAAAAGAAATTTTGAAGGGAGGGTTTATGGAGTAAAGAACAGTTTCTGGAATAAAACGTGAGCATGGAATACATTTTCTGAAAAGCCACCATTTTTTAGACTGTGAGGTATTCGTATGTGTATATGTGTGAAAGAGAAAGTGAGGGTGGCAGAAATAGAGCTCATCATTTCTGCTACCATCAATAATAATTTTCAAGGAATTCCAGATGATTCCTGACTAACTCATTCTCTTCCTTTGGTAGTGAAAACATAATCCATACAAGTATAAAAAAAAAAAAATCAGTGTTAGGAAAATTCTGTCAGCCTTCTGAGTAGACTGAGACAAGCATCGGGGCTTGGTTTTATTTTCTCAGCCAAAAGAGAGAAGACTTGAAAGGGGGAAACAAAGACAATGGAGAAATTGCTTTAATATTTCACTGGGGTAGAGTCTTTCTGATAGCAGACAGCTTAAAACTATCCCTTCCAGACCTAGAAACAGAGTTCAACATAATTGTTCATGAGAGTAATACAAATTAAAGCCATAATGAGACACCATTACACAACTCTTTAGAATGGTGAAATCAAAGAGTGACATAGCAAGTGTTGGCAAGAATGTGGAACAACTAAAAATCCAATAGGCTGGCTTTGAACTCCTGGCCTCAAGTGATCCTTCTGCCTCAGCCCCACAAGGTACTGGGTTATAGGCATGAGCCACCACACCCAGCCGGACTCTCATATACTGATGATGGAAATGCAAAATGGTACAGCTACTTTGGAAAACATGTTGTCAATTTCTTATACAATTTAACATACCGTTACAATATGATTTCCCAATCTCAATTCTAGCTGTTTACCAATGAGAAATGAAAACATATGTTTACACAAAAGCCTGTATACAAGTATTTATAGAGGTTTTATCCATAATTGTCAACACCCGAATACCAAACATTTTTCCGCTTATAAATGGATAAACAAATTTTGGTACATCCACACAATGGATAACTCTCAAACAAATATGAAAAGTAAAAAGTCAGATTCGAAAGGCTACATGCAGTATGATTCCCTTTATATGACTTTCCTAAAAAGGCAAAACTGTAGGGATAAAATTAGAGCAGTGGTTGCCAGAATATTGCAGAAGAGGAAAGTGTTTACAACAAAGAGGCACAATGGAACTTTTTGGGGAGTTAGAAATGTTCTTTATGTTGATTGTGATGGTTACATCACTGAATGTATTTGTAAAAACTCATAAAAGTATATACTAAAAAAGTTGAATTTTACACTACATAAATTATACTTCAATAAACCTGACTTTAAAGGATTATAGAACAAAAATTTACAAGATATCAAAAATTCAATGTCATGAAAGAAAAGTAGGATATCTGAACTAGATCTGAAGAGACTACAGAAACAAAAATACCAAATGAAATATATGAACTCGGAATATATTCTGGTCTGAAATAATCCAATAAAACCACTAATAAAATTGTGTTTATACAATTGGGAATATTTCAATATGGACTGCATTTAGATATTATATAATTAATGTTAATTTTCTTAGGCATTAAAAGTATATGATGATTACATAGAATGCGTTTTTTTTCTTTAGGAGACGCATACTGAAATATTTAAGGTGAAACAGTATTTACAACTTTCTTTCAAATGATACTGCAAACGAAAAAAGCAAGAGGGAACATAGGGTATGCTGATTGTATTAGGGTTCTTTAAAGAGACAGAACTAATAGGAGATATATATACACGAAGGGGAGTTTATTAGGAGATGATCACAAGGTGAAGTCCTAGAATAGACCATCTATGAACTGAGGAGCAAGGAGGCCAGTCCAAGTCTCAAAACCTCAAAAGCAGGGAACCCGACAGTGCGGCCTTCAATCTGTGGCCAAAGGCCCAAGAGCCCCTGGAAAATCACTGGTGTAAGTCCAAGAGTCCAAAAGCTGAAGAACTTGGAGTCTGATGTTCAAGTTCAGGAAGCATTCAGCACGGGAGGAAAAAGATGGAAGCTGAAAGATTCAGCAAGTCTGCTCTTCCACTTTCTTCTGCCTGCTTTATTCTAGCCGTGTTGGCAGCTGATTAGATGATGTCCACCCAGATTTAGGGTAGGTCTGCCTCTCCCAGTCCACTGACTCAAATGTTAATCTCCTTTGGCAACACCCTCACGGACACACTCAGGATCAATACTTTGCATCCTTCAATCCAATCAAGTTGACACTCAGTATTAACCATTACACTGATCGTTATTGAAATGAGGTGAATAATCTGTGGGCACACATTGCATTAAGCAGACAATGTCTTTTAAGTTATAACAGTGATCTGAACTGTCACCTTTATTATATACCAAATTTGGAGGTATATTTTTGGAAAGTGTTATTTTGTTCCATTCATCATTTAGTACCCACACCAGTGCCATCCTGTTCTAGTTATAATTTAATAATGTTTCTATGTCTGATAGATCAAGTCATTATTATTTATATGTTTCCAAAATATTCAGGGTTCATCTCATCAATTTAGACTCTCAGATGAATATCAGAATCATTTTTCAGTGTCTCATTTGACCTTTGGTTAGTATTAAATTACATTTATAAATTAATTTGTAGAAAATTAACATAGTTTTGTTTTTATTTATTTTTGGAAACAGGGTCTAACTCTTTTGCCCAGGCTGGAGTGCAGTTGCGGGATTATGGCTCACTGAAGCCTAGACCTCCCAGGCTCGAGTGATCCTCCCACCTCAGCCTCCTGAAGTAGCTGAGACCACAGACATACACCAGCACACTCACCTAATTTTTTGTATTTTTTGTAGAGACATGATCTCACTGTGTTGCCCAGGCTGATTTGAAACTCCTAGACTTGAGCAACACTCCCACTTTGACCTCCCAAAGTACTGGGATTACAGGCGTGAGCCACCATGCACGGCTGACATATTTTTAAATAGTAATATTTCTTTAAGAAACATGATATAGCTCTGCATTTACTCAAAGCTTTATGTTCCTTAATAAAATACTGCATTTTCCTGGACATTTTAAAATATTTCTCATTACTTCATAGCAGTTGTACTACTGGAAATTGATGCTTTTCCTAGCATATTGTTTAGTTAGTGTAATTAATGCTATGTAGGAATGTAGTGCTTGTTGTATAAGTATTTTGTTACAAACCACTTTAGCTGGTCATGGTGGCTCACACCTGTAATCCCAGCACTTTGGAAGGTTCAGGCAGGAGGACCGCTTGAGGCCAGGAGTTTGAGAACAGCCTGAGCAACATAGCAAGATGCCCATCTCTACAAATTCACTTGAATGAATTTGCTTATTCATTCTTTTGAATTATATCTTTTGAATTAAAAGTTTCTTAGGTGGAAAATCATCCAATCTTCTAGTTTGACTAATTTTTCTATATAAATAACTTACATTTCTTTTTCTTAATTTTATTCATTTGCATAAACTTTCCAAGCAAGATCAAATAATACTGATGAAACAAGCAAAGGTGTCATGTACCTGAAATATAAAAACTAATGATTCTAGTGCTTCCCAAATTGAGTGTGATTTTGGCTATTTGAGATAAATACTATTCTTGCATTCCTATTTTTGTATTTTTTAAACGACCAGCAGTGGAAATTGGATACAAATTCATTATTTTGGGGGCATTTATATTAATAATTATACGTTTTTAAATATTTGTCCTACTGATGTGATAAATTCCATCAACAGATTTCCAACTAGTAAGCCATCCTCACATTATTATAATAAACTTTATGTGATCATATTGTATTATTTGAATATGTTAGTAGTCATTTCGTTTATAGTTTTTTTTAGATTTTTGAAGCTATGTGAGTTGAATTCATTATTACTTTTTTGACTTAAAAATAAGATTTGTCATTTTCACTTAGAAGCTGGAGTTTTTCTATTTCACACACAAATTATTATTTTATTATTTTTCATAGGAAATAAAAAATTGCTTCCTAAGCAATGCAGGGAAGCTGTAATTTTAAAGAGGGGAGTAATGGATTTGATTGTATTTAAAAAATTATACATTTTTGTTTTTTTGAGACAATGTCTCACCCTGTTGCCCAGGCTGGAATGCAGTGGCACTATCATGGCTAACTGTAGCCTCCCCTCCTGCACTCAAGCAAGCCTCCTGACTCAGCCTCCTAAGTAGCCTGAACCCCAGGTGCACACAACCATGCCCAACTAATATCTGGTCTTGAACTCCTGGACCCAAAGGATCCTCCCACCTTAGCCTCCCAAAGTGCTGGAATTACAGGCATGGGCCACCTCGCCCAGCCACATTTGTGCATAGCTAGTGACACATGTGAACAAACTCAAAAGACTGGGAGAAGATGTTTTACATGGAATGAAGAGTTAATAGAGATCTTTAGATATTTGATATTTAGAGGGCTTCTAGAAATTAATAAAAAATTTGAAAGCAATATAAAACGGGAAAATGGACAAAAATATGAAAAGGAATATTTGAAGAAAAACATAAAAATAATAAATACATTAAAATGTACTCAACTTCCTTATTGGTCAGGAAAATGAGAATTTCTGTAACAATGAGATTCCATTTCACTCATCACATTGTCAAAACTTAAAAGATTAATACAATCCAGTGTTGGTGAGCATGTGGAAACTGCTATTCTCTGATATTCTTCAAGAGTATTTGGGAGGAGTAATAACTTCTACAGTCTTTTGAAAAAGCAAATTAGAAAAATCTATTAAAATACATTTATATAGTTTTTCCCAAAATTTATCTTACAGAAATGATGGTACAAGAATATTCAGATATAAATGTAAAGATGTCCATTGAAGACTCTTTCTTTTCTTGTGCAATGGCAATATACTAAAACAAATGACCATTAATAGGAAAATGGTTGAATAAACTATGATCTGCCACTACAAAAAATATTGAATAACTCTTAAAACTAATGAATAATAATCTTCTTATTCTGACTAAAAGGAAGCCCATAGTAAATGGCTATGAATAAAAGGAAAATTATAGACAAATATGTATTGCATGATTCCAGGTTTTAAAAATCTGTGTGATTAGTACATATAGTTCTATCTTTATAAACTCCTGAAAAAGTTGGCATTAATATACCTAATATCATTAATAGTGGCACCCACTGCTAAATGAGGCGGGGGGCAGGATTGGAAGGACTCAAGTGGGAATTTCATTTAGTACTCTATAATTAATATATTACTTTAAAATGCTAAAAGTCTTTTGGATGATTCCTACATTTTTTGTAGTAAAAGACTCAAGGAACATGGAAAAGAAGTCATCTAAAAATTATTTTTTATCTTTAGTTTCTTATCCGCAAAATGAGACTAAAATTATTTCCAAAAGACTTTTGGCCCTTTCTAAAATCAGATCCTCCTTAAATGGATGGATATTTCACTGAGGTATTCAGAATACTGTACTTGTATATTTGATGGCAATTCTAAAGAATTTTGAGAAACATTTTCAATAACAACAGCATCATTGAATAAGTACATACATTCCATAGATAATCTAGTTCCCAATACAATAATAGAATAAAAATTTATTTGTAAATTGTTACTAGTCGTCTTGTTTTGTTTTTTGTTTTTGTTTTTGTTTGAGACGGAGTCTTGCTCTGTCACCCAGTCTGGAGTGCAGTGGTGCGATCTTGGCTCACTGCAAGCTCCGCCTCCCAGGTTCATGCCATTCTCCTGCCTCAGCCTCCCGGGACTACAGGTGCTCACCACCACACCCAGCTAATTTTTTGTATTTTTTAGTAGAGATGGAGTTTCACCGTGTTAGCCAGGATGGTCTCGATCTCCTGACTTCGTGATCCACCCACCTCAGCCTCCCAAAGTGCTGGGATTACAGGCATGAGCCACTGTGCCTGGTCAGTTGTTACTAGTCTTGTAGTCATGAGAAATTATGAGAGTAGGTCCTTTTCCTCTTCTATTTAAAAAAGCTAGAGAAATGTTACTAAGATTTTTATTTCATCAAAAAATGTTGGGTGGAATGCATTACACAGTTTCCTACAGCAACATTTTTTTGTTTGTTTGAGATGGATTCTCACCCTGTCGCCAGGCTGGAGTGCAGTGGTGCCATCTCAGCTCACTACAGTCTCTGCCTCCCAGGTTCAAGCAATTCCCCTGCCTCATCCTCCTGAGTAGCTGGTACTACAGGTGCACACCACCACGCCAAGCTAATTTTTTTTTTTTTTTTTTTGTAATTTAGTAGAGAAAGGGTTTCACCATGTTGGCGAGGATGGTCTCAATCTCTTGACTTTGTGCTCTGTCTGCCTTGGCCTCCTAAAGTGCTAGGATTATAGGTGTGAGCCACCGTGCCTGACCCAGCAACATTGTTAAATATGTCTTTAAGGCTTGAAGGCTAGATTGAAAAAGTTTATTCAACCCAAATGTGACTGAGCTGTAGTACTAACAGTATGCTTCAATAAACATTTGTAGTGTAGAAGAGTGAGTGGATGGATGGATCAATAGAAAGGACCAGGAAATTCACTGGGTTGTAAATTCTGGGAGGAAGGAACTAGTCTTCTATATTCATTATTGTATCCCCAACACCCTGCCACATAGGTGGATCTCATGAACGATCCCAAAGCTGTCTTCACTTTCCTGAGTGTATAGCTGGACTTTTATAATAAATTATGTATGTCTTAACCCATTATTAAAGGATATTAAATGTTTTTAAAGGTAAAATGATGAATCTTGAACAAAAAAATAAAATAAAGATGTGTTAAAGAATGTTTTAACTCAGTTTTTGAAGGAACTAGAAAAGGGTAAAGAACCAAATCAAGAAGATTCCAAAGAAGACACAAATAGAGGTAATCCAGAGTGCTGAAATGAATTCAATAGATTCAAAATTGGTCAAACTCCAAATTCCACAGGGAAATAATCAATTGCATCATAACCAACAAAAGTCATTTGAATTACTAACAGTTTACTACAACTAATAGAGTGGTAAAATAGCTAAGAAGCAATAAAAGTCTCGAATAATGAGAAAGGGTGGGAATTTGCTGGCAAGATGGCCGAATAGGAACAGCTCCAGTCTGTAGCTCCCAGCAAGATCGACAGAGAAGGTGGGTGATTTCTGCATTTCCAACTGAGTTACCCAGTTCAACTCATTGGGACTGGTTGGACAGTGGGTACAGCCCACGGAGGGCAAACGGGGCATCGCATTCTCACCTGGGAGAAAGTGCAAGGGGTCAGGGGATTTCCCTCCCCTACCAAGGGAAGCCGTGAGGGACTGTGCCATGAGGAACAGTGCACTCTGGCCCAGATACTTGCCCTTTTCTCACATTCTTCACAACCCACAGACCAGGAGATTCCCTCGGGCACCTATGTCACCAGGGGCCCTGGGTTCAGGCCACCAAAACTGCAGGCTGGGGCAGCTGTTTGGGCAGACACTGAGCTAGCTGCAGGAGTTTTTTTTTTTTTTTCTTCATACGCCAGTGGCACCTGGAATGCCAGTGACAGAACTGTTCACTCCCCTGAAAAGGGACTGAAGCTAGGGAGCCAAGTGGTCTGGCTCAGCGTGTCCCAACCCCATGGAACCCAGGAAGCTAAGATCCACTGGCTTGAAATTCTCACTGCCAGCACAGTCTGAGGTTGACCTGGGATGCTGAAGGTTGGTGGGGGGAGGGGCATAGCCTCAGTCAGGGACTTT